AATCCCCATTCTTAATGTCACTCCTTGTTGGCCTCCTAGAGAGATGTGCATATATTTTGGGAAAGAATTTTTTAGTCATTAAAAAGGACAGTGAGCAGCCAATAAGGGACTAATTATTAGAGCGGTGCAGGTGAGATGATGCCAGGGAAGTTCCTGGTAGGACAGAAGGGTTCCAAAGGAGTGGTGGAGAATTTGAAGATCACCTTCCTCACAACTGTGCCCTGAGCCACCTATTGATTCACTTAAAAAATATAAAAACTACATTCCTTGGTTATTAACATAAATAATGTGTATTTTATGGAAAACAACTACTTTATCCAAAACAAAGGAAGTAGTAATAAGCATAGCAGTGTTTATGTGTTTGCAAATCTCTTTATGCCTGACTTAGGAGAACATAGCAGGATTTTCACATTTCATTAATACCATATCAAGAAATCACATTTGTCAATATCATTCCCAATCCCATCAGGAAAATCTTTAGAAGGCTGGGAAGACTGTCAAGTTCACAGTGGCAGATACAAGTTGTCCAGAATTCTAATATTTACTTATAAGCACCAATTTTATAATTGGTAACAAACACTTTCAATGGTTTTCCTTGAAGTGATAGGAATTTTGTTTGGTTTGTCTGTTTCTTTTGAGAAAATTTCTACTGACTAACCAAGTTTGTAGTTTGTCAGTTGTTCTTTCAAGTAAAACTGGTGTTCTTCAAAAAAAGCTGCTAGTTCAGCTCAGAACCTTGTCAGGCAATTGCTTTTCCTTGAAATAACTGTTGTACTTGGGCTTTTAGCAGATGGTTCATGTGTGTTTCCTATTCTGTCACACACAATATTAAATAGATACATACTCAACAATTAAGATTTAATAAAATCTATAATTTTTATTGCTCCATCAAGGACATTCTTAAACAAAACTGACATTAAAAAATGAAATAAAACTGTGAGTATGTGGTGGTGAATATAAATGCTTTTATTGTTTGAAGCCACTGCTTTGATTCTTGCCATGACCCCAGATGTTTCAGTCAATTGCTTTTGCACCATAGTGCAAATGTCAACACAGTCAAAAAGACAAATACTGTGAAATAGTTTTTCACGGACTCCCTGAAAAAAAGCCCTGGAGAACCCCAGGGATTCATGGCTCACATATTGAGAAGCACTGTCCCGGACTGTTCTCAGGACTGGGCCAAAGCACCCAGTAAGTCTAAGTGTTCCACGTGATAGCATGAGGGACAATCCTGTTCTTATCAGTGTGTCTTCTCTGCAAGGAGGCGGCTCTTTGCTGGTGAGTCAGATGCACATCCCAGGTCTCTAAGGTCCGGAGAGCAGGCTCAGGAGTCTCATGAACTGCTGATGAGTCTTTTTATCAATATAAAACAAACACTACTATCTGTAGGAGTTCACATTACAGGAGTTCACCAGTGGAAGCCTTAGAACTTTCCACTGGACTTGCTCTGATCAAGGTAGGATCCATAATATATGAGGTCAAGAAGAGAATGAGTGAATTTTAAGTGTGAGATAAGAGCTGACCTTGCCTGGATGTACTGGCAGAACATCTGAGACGAGAGATGGAAGAGGACTAAGAGAGTCTAACACATATATGTATTGTTAATGCTAGCCATGGTCTGAACATGTCTTAATCTAGAATAAAAAAGTCGTTTGTAAAGGGACCTCATTGTAAATAAAATGAGTGGAAGTGATTTGAAAAATGTAAAAAGTGATGACAATAGAGTAAATATGATAATAATTATGATAATAATAAGCAGCTACTTGCCCAACAATTATTATGAGCCATCTATTTCAGTAAATGTAATACACTAAATGTATATTGTGTTGTTTTTCACTCAGTGCTTAAAACAACTCTATGAAGTGTTATTATAACTTTAGGGATGGGGAAACCAAAGCTTAGAGAGGTTAATTAATTTGTCCAAGGTCACACAACCAAAAAGTGAAGATGTTGCGATTTGAGCCCATGTATATCCGGTCTCCCATGTTCTAGTCTTTTCTCTCATTCTGACATTTTCCCCTAAAAATCCCCAGGTTTCTCAGGGTACTTTAACATTGAGTCATTTGTGCACAATCCAGGATTTGTTTCCTGGGTAGATGTTGCAAAAGTTGCTTGGCACTGGAGGTCAGCGCATGATAGGAATAAATGGTGCTGTGTCTAGGTTTTTAAATATCTAAATGAGCGTTAGTCTTCAAAGGAAAAAGAACAGCCTCGTAAAAGAGGATTACTTAGTGTCTTAGAATCTTTAAGCCTCACAATGCAGAGAGCAGGAGGAAAACTATCTTCAGCTACAAATAGAACTAATGAGTTCCAAGGGAAATAGCCTGTCATTTTGCTAAGCAACACCAAAAGCGGGATTATCTGGTGCTTGCTCTCTGGGTAAAAGGCAGAGAACCAAATGATGAAAAGATTCCATCTCATTTAACAGTCACTAAAAGTATTATTACACATTTAATAACTTTACAAAAAAAGTCTCCATTTTAAACACTAACCTTCATCTAATTTCTTAGTACAAGATGTCTGTGTCAGCAAGTGTCTCACCCACACTGGGGACACAGTAGTTCCACAGTCTCAGAGTGAGAATGGTTTTTACTGCCATCTAACATAACTGTGTGCAGTGTGCAGATACAGAAGAGATAGGGGAGGCCGAGAGATGAGCAGTTGGCCCTAGGTCACAGAGCTGCACAGAGCTGAAACAGCCCCCAGGTCTATGTAGGTAGGAAGTAACATCTGGGCTTTGAACATATTGTGAAGAGTTCTGTGATAAGGCACATTAAGGACTGGTGGTGACGTGCATACTTTATGTAAACTCACTGCTCCTAGTACCATGAATACTGACCGCCTTCTCTGTGAACCTCTACCACAACAGCCTGCCAGCTGTTCTTTCAATGTCTTGAAGGGTGTCAGAGTATGCCACCCCAAACTATGCGTTTGGCATATAGACTATTTCAAACTAAAGGCAACTGAGAACCAGCAGATGCAGGAAATTTCTTTACCTATCCTGACCTGACTAAAATAGAGTATAAATTTCCACTTTTGAAAAGGAAATTTACATCTAGAAAGGAAGTGTCCATTTGTAAAGGTACCTTAGTACCAGCAAAAGAGATGTCCCGGAGACAACTCTTATGTTCTAAGATTCTTAGAACATCTGAGATTCTTCACTGTGATGATTGAATCCACACAACCCACATTCTGGTGCTGTTTATGTGTAAGAGGAGGCAAGGTTTAGGATTGCTACTCATTCTCCTAAATAATTCTATCAAGAAGGTGAGAACCAGGACTTGGCTCAGTTTCATCTCTGAACATTCAAAAGTGTTTCTTTTCTCAGTCGTGGATGAAGAACTGTGGCAATCTGCTGACACAGGTGAGAATGGCTGTGGGGCATGGCATCTCCACAGCACAGCATGAGTTGGCCTGGCTGACTTTGGACCTCTACAGCTTTATATAGCTTTCCTTGTCTGTGGGACCACGACGGGGAACCATAAAAATTTCGTTTTATTTCACATTTGCATAACAAGACAACCTTTGTTTCCTCACCATTTCTTTCCCTCACCTTCCTCTAACTTGCCTTCCCTCCCAGAAGCCCCAAACCTCTTTTCCTGTGGTTAGCTTAAGAGGGTATATCTGCAATCATTTGGCCCCCAACTTGAGTACCATTTCATTGTGAAGTTCCCAGGTGACCAAACAAAAAAGAACTCTCAAGACTGAGAAATCTCTGAATATAAAAGGATTTTTTTTTTTGAGCCTTTACAGGTGCCAGAAATAGGGCTGAGTCCTGGGACAGGAAATTTCTGCTTCACCAGCCGGAAGGCGAGTTAACAGAAATAACTTGTCTGCCAGACTCAAGAAACGGAGCAGTTATGAGAGGTTTCAAGGAAAGAGTTCTTCAAATTCACATTGGCTTACAGATAAGGAAGGTGGGCTAATGCAAAGAGGGGAAAATCCTGGAATAGGTGGTTAGTTCGTAGAGGAGGCTCATGGATTGGTTGCTGATGATGGTCAGATGCTGGTCATCCGCAAGGGGCATTCAGTGGATCTGGGGACCTTCTAGATAATTGTTGAAATGACTTCATCCAGGAATGTAGAATTTCTGGTCAGCTGTGGCCTGCAGCTCTTGACTGATGACCTTCCCCTGTCTTTCCCTCATTCTCCCACCCTTATGTCACTTAATTTAAGACATTTCAGAATTTTTTCTTATCACAGGCTTCTTACCGTCTTTTGTCAATTTAATCCAAGGCCCCCAGAAATGGAGAACTTAGTTGGGTAGAAGGAAAGTTTTTTCCTCCTCTGCAGTCTGATTAAAATCAACTTATTGTGCTGACACAGGAAAAACTTCTGGGATCTTTTTAAAAAAAGAATACCATCCAATCAACAGAAAACAGTAGGCAACCAGCACTTGGGACTGAAATAATTTGCCACAGTCTAAACTTGAAATGTGTTCATTTAGGAATTTTATCAAGGGCAGGCGAATGGGTGGGCCCACCGCCCACACAGGTGTAGGTGTCGCACCCTCGCTGGCAGTAGCTGAGCAAGGCAGATTGCCGGTGGGTCAGGTCTTTGTGTTTGCGGCAGACTACGCGGGGTGCCAAGATTCTGAAAACAGCCCATTTATCCCAGAATCCTACAAGTCCAGATGTAATTTTAAGAGCCTGCAGGTGAGAGACTAAAGACGAATGGGAGGGGGAGAGCTCTATTTTCAAAAAGTCCGATCCAAATCTTGGGAGCTGGGCGCTGTGCAAGGTCTTGGCAGAAACGCTCTTCGTAAAGACAGAAGTGAACAACGCAGGCCTGCCCGCCCCTCCCCCCACCGCCCCTCCTCCTGTTTTGGAGGCCCGTGTAGTCCTGCCCCATTGGCCGCCGTGGAGCCCGACGCCCGGAGAGGCGGAGTGGCCTCCGCAACTGTAGTTCCCGGGTTCCCTCGGCCGCCGGCCCCGCCTTCCGGCCGCGGACGCCTCCGCAGCGGCGCAGGACCACAGCTCCCACAAGGCCGCGCGCCCGGGGCGTGTCGGTGGGTGCGGGCCTCGGCGAAGGGGTGGGGCCGTGACACAAAGGAGGTCTTGGCGCCTAGCGGCTCGCGTCTCCGTGGGGCTTCCAGGAGCTGGGGAGCTTTCCTGTTGCCGGGCTGGTGTCTGTTCCTCTGATCCGTGGAGTCGCTCACCGTCCAGCAGTCTCGCGTCGGCCGGGCGACCCATGGACAGCGTGTGCCAGAGTATTGGCGGGGGAGGTGCAGGGCTGTGGGGAGTGGTTGCGTTGAAGCTGCTGGTGGTCCTCAGCTAACTGGGGAGCGTGTCTGAGGCCCAGGAAGTTACCGATGCTGGAAGGGGAAGCCCTGGGCCCAGAACCGCCTAGAGCTGGAAGCCAACAGTAACTCTGGGAAAAAACCCAACCGTTAAGGTGGTTTAATTTTGGCCAAGAAGATGAACAGGAAAGACAGCCAAATCATTGGTATGTGTTGACCTGTGCTGAAACTTTACATCTGTCCTTCGTAATTCTTACCTGTCATTCGTAGCTTTTATCCTTTTATTCCTTCTGCGAGGATTCCCTCAAGAAATGCCTTTGATATTCCCTCTCTCAAATTTGGTCGTTAGCCCATTCTGTCATCAGCGCATGCCTTGAAAGGTTTCTTATTTTAGTGACTTTATTTCCAAGACCTCTGGTTCTTTTCACAACTGCCAGCTCTCACTTTATGATTGATGTGATATTCTTGAGTATCCCTATGATTATTTTAATTATAGTGATTTTAATATCCTGATCACTTTTTTAAAAAGTTTCTTCAGGTGCAAATTGTTAAAAAAGAAAAATAGTATGTTAACATTGTTCTGCTTTCCATAGTTTGGTTTTGCTGAAATGTTTGTTATTGCTCGTGTGATGTCATACTCATTTTTTTGTACCTAAGATTCTCTGTTTTTTTTGCTCTCTTTGCAGCAGAATGAAGAGAAGGGCGCTGTAGGGTTTATTTATTTATTTTTAAATGAAAATGGGAAGAAGCAAGATTTGTAGTCTGGTGCTACCTGGAGGCCCCCCACTCCTCAATCTGATAATCATCCATATTTTGCTTGTTTCTCTTACCCAAGCTCACATACTCCACTTGCAGCTGGAAGCAGGGATCCCATATCTGCTTCCTGAGAAGTGGTATTTGCAGAGGTTTTATTTGTCTGCTCAGGCAAATGTAACAAAATACCACAGACTAGGTATCTTAAACCAGAAATCTATTTTCTCAGAGTGCTGAATCCGAGAAGTCCAAGACCAAAGTGCCAGCAGGGTTGGATCTGGTGAGGCCTCTCTTCTTGGCTCTTAGACAGCTGTCCTTTTGCCGTATTCTCACATGGCCTATTGTGTGGCACTCAGAGGGCGAAGATACAGGGAGAGAGCTCTGGTGTCTCCTCCACTTCTTAGAGAGACACCAGTCCTATCAGATTAGGGCCCCATCCCTGTGACCTCATTTAATCTTTATTACTTCTGTAGAGGCCTTATCTCTAAATACAGTCACATTGGGGATTAGGACTTATCATATACCTTTTGAGGGACACACTTCAGTCCATAACAATCAGTATAGGAGAAAAACGATGGAGTGAATTCTAGAGTAGTCACACTCTGATGTTGGAAGTGCAAGGTGAGCCGCTGTAAAAAACGTACCTTTCAAGTCGAAGTAGGATGTTAGTACTGGAGGCTAAAGGGAAGTCCCACATCTTCGACAGATGATTGAGTCTTTGGCAGAGAAAACCCAGAACATGGTCAGTTACAGTCTTTTCTATCTGCCAGCCATTGCTTCCAGGTAGTGGTGATTCTGAAGTGAATATCTATCACAACCTAATTTACTGCATGGAATCAGGAATTTGGAGTTGAAAAGCAGCACTCCCAAAACCCGAAAAGTACCGTGCTGTCATGTAAAATAAAGATTACTGCCCCAGGAGACAGGAGATCTGATATGTCTCCTTTGTTCTGCTGCTAACCAGATGTGAGTTCGTTAACCATCTGTATTCTACCCCATATGGCGGTGTCATGTGTCCTCAGCCCCAGAGTTCGTTTGTTTTAGCCACAACCAGACACAGGTCTGTTGGTTACCAGTCTCTTAATTGGTCTGACCATCACAATCTATATGATGCCTGACAACTGCTGAGAAATAATGGTCCACTTCCTTTTTGAGAAGAGTGGAAAACCCCAGAGAAACAGACCATCAGGGGGATGCCAGCCAGCTCCCAGGAGTGAGGTGGGGGGAAGAGTGTGCTGATGGCAGACATTAGGAGGGAGGGCAGAAGGTGCCACCACTGGTTCTACATCATCACAGAGAATGGTTGGGCATAGAGCAGGGAGTGGTGTGGCGATGGAGCAGCAGCAGGTGGAGAGAATGCCTTTGTTGAGCAATTAGAGTGGGAGATACCATTTTGATTTTGTAAATATGTGTATGAGAGTGCATTAAATTTTAAACAAGGGAGATAAATAATGTTTTCTTTTGTTTCTGATGAGATTTTTTTCTGTAATATTAAGGAAGTCAATATGATGATAAATGGAGCACTGGTGCTGAACTCCAGACCCAGGGTTAAAGAGTTGAAAAGGGAGACTCGAGAAGCTATCCTCACCGTAAGAGACTGAGATGCCTGCCCACTGCTGAGCCCTCCGGTGCAACGTGGCCGATGTAATCTGGGCCCTGTTAATCTAATAGTGTTCAATCTAATAGTGTGATTCTTTGTTGTATTAAGCCCCCTGGTCCTTGTGGCAGCACAGTGAGAAGAAACGGGGCAGCTGTGACGCGGGGCCCCTGTGGAGGGCACTTCACTAATATAAAGAGCAACAGTTATCAGTTTTGAAGAACTTCCTCTACTGGCACTGTGCTTTGACCTGGGTTTATAGTGCTGAGGCAAAAATAGAAATAAAAATAGACATGGCTGCACTCCCATGACCTGAAAGCCCTTATTCTCTTCACTGTCCCATCCCCATTCTGTCTTCTGCAGACACTGGGCAACACAGTCCAGCGCTTCTTGGGTTGGAAGTGTCTGTTCTGTCAAAGCGCTGCAGAGTCCTCAGTGAGCTCCTAAGGCTGCCTCTGCCTTGAATGGTGGAAGAAGAGGCAGGGCATTTCTTCTTTCTGTTTGTTGGCAACCATTTCTCATTATGTAACCTTTTTCAGCAATGCAAATCACTAACTGCATCACAAACATATCTAATCCTGTCTAGTAAAGAAAATGAGTTTTACAGCTCCATAAACATTTAAGAAAAAACAGTGGATTCATTCTAGTTACTTTTGAATCTTGTGGACTTTCTCCAAAGAAAGGAAAAAGTAAATATTAGAAATCTCATCTACAAGCACAAATATTAATTTATAGCTAAGTCAAGATGTAATTTAGTAAATAAATCATGAGCCTCCTCAGAAGCCTTTTGCCCACCTTTTAATATCTCTATTATGTCATATAAGTAAAAGTAGTTACCAGAACCCTGCTGGCTCATTACTCACAAGTCAAAGTACTCTCAGAAGTATAAAGAAATTGTTACATTTTTATTCCATTGCCTTGACACTGTGTTCATTAGCTGATTCCTAAGTCAGAAACCACCAGTTAAAATAAATGAAAGCAACAATATCTTTGTATCATGGAAAGGTAAGTGCCTGGTACAATTTTTAAAATTTGTATAAGTAATTATACAAATATACCAGTTAAAATAAATGAAAGCAACAATATCTTTGTATCATGGAAAGGTAAGTGCCTGGTACAATTTTTAAAATTTGTATAAGTAATTATACAAATATACCAGTTAAAATAAATGAAAGCAACAATATCTTTGTATCATGGAAAGGTAAGTGCCTGGTACAATTTTTTAAATTTGTATAAGTAATTATACAAATTTAAAAAATTGTACCAGGCACTTACCTTTCCATGATACAAAGATTGTCAAACCTCCACTAAGGAGAGCCATTAACCAGAGGGATTTCCTAGATGGGTTCCATTAGCTGGCCACAAACCATTGGCAGCCCTGTGGACTTTGACAACCAAATAGCCTATGTGTGTTTAAGGCATTGTAATCCTTTTTCTTAATGCAAAAGTGCCACTTCTGTCACATTTCTGCTTACTGCCTTCTTCAGAAAAGTTCCTGACTCAGAAGGCTGAACTAGTCCTCCAAGGGAATTTTCAAGAGACCCACCTCCAAGACCATCTCCTGCAATATCTTAAGATAGAATTGTCTATTAATATAGATAATACCATCTGGGCTCCAAGAGAGAAAGATCTTTGCTGTTTTGCTGCTGTGTCACTGGCCCCTAGGACAGTGCCCAGCGCACTGTAGCTACTCAAAATTAAGCTACTTTGAATGAATCACTTTGGCCTTTGATAATGAGGTAGGTAGTTCATGGTCCTCAGGCAAGAAGTGGGATTTGTACTGGGATTTCAAGAATGGAGGAGCCAAACAGAAAAACTGAGAAGCTAAGCCATGAAAGGATATACTTAATGGGGTTGGGTAAGTGTAAATACAGTTCAGACATAAATTAACCTATGGAAAAATCAAACATTTTGATAATTTTCATTTAACAATCTGAGGCATAGATATTGTCCATATTGTCTATATGCAGAATTGCAAAGAAAGTCATCCTGGCTGACTGCAACCCATGTGCTCAGGATGGTAAGCATGTCTCCACCCTGTTCTCTCTGATGTCATGGACTTTCAGCTTGACCTCTCCATCTGGTCCACTGCCATCAGCTCTAGGTTATTTGCAATGTTTGCAATCTTGCAGTTGCAGTACTGTCTGACTTTCAGTCATACTAAGTCTTTGAAAGGCAGTGCGTATTTTGCAATTACAGCACAGCTCAGTTTGAACTAGTCACATTTCAAGTGGTCAATAGCCACATGTGGCTACTGGCCACAGTATTTAGACAATGCAAGTCTAGAAAGTCCACACAAAAGATGTGGGCTGTGCTACACCTTACTTTCAATAATTAAGTCAAGTGGTGACAGTAACTCAGTCATGGAATCATGCATTCTAAACCTGATGAAGGCGGATTCTTACACTGCCCCATCTCTGCCAGAGTGCTTACATTTAGTTGATATTAATGTTGTTTTAATGTTTCTTACTGCATGTTTGACTAAAGAATTAGTAAAATGTCTGATGCAAAAAACAGGATGAGTCTTGCATGACAAAGACCCCTTGATCACACCTGAGTCAGGTTCCTCTGAGGACTCCTGCCTATGCCCTGATCTTGGGCTCTGTCCTTTAGTCCAGGGGCTCTATCCATTTAGTCTGGTTTTAGCAAGAATCTGGCTGACTCATTTCATTGGAAATTTCCTATCCTTGATATCTAATCAAACTCCTCATGCCCCACCCTTGATATTTCACTGCCTGATTTGTCTACAGCAATAATCTTGTCCAGTTAGTTTAGCTAGAATCCATCCCCCCTTATCCCTGATGTTTCCTCTTAATATTCCATCCACTGACACCTGCCCTGCTCTTCGGCTGTAAATCTCCATTTTTCCATTATTTGGTGTTGACCTGGATCTCTCTCTGATACTACAAAACCCCACTGTAAGGAACCCCCTTGAATACAATCTTTAACAAGTATCATAATTTTTCCTTAACTGTCAGGGTGCTAACACAGAACCAGGACAGAAAGTGCCTCCTCCTGTAATGGACATTTGTTAGGTTTGTCTGACCATGCCATTTTCCTCTTCCTCTGAGACTCTATCCATCTCAATTACAAGTGATCTTAGTAGAACTCCCAACTGAGTCTTTCTGGCCCAGGATAGGCAACTGAGTGAGACTAGGCCAAAATTAAAATTCTTCTGGGAAACTGGACCTTGAGACTTCAACCCAAGGATGAAAATGAAAAAGGGTTGATGGTCCGTTTTCCTGATGGCCCAGTAGTTCTTGCTCTCTTGGTTCCTGATTCTCCCATAGTTCCCGCCTTTCTGAAGATAAACGACCACTTGTCTAAGTGCACTGTCCACAAAGTCGTTCTACCGTGACCCATGTGAGCCAAAGTAGGGGAGCAGAGATCTCCGTAAATTTTTAAAAGATGGTTTTGTCCTTGTTGCACATGGCCACTCAAGACAAAAGGTACGGGTGGAGTGGAGGGTGGTTAGAAAAGGTGAAATTATAGCTACCCTCTGGTTTTGTGGTTGGTGAAGAGAGCAACACCCAGGTACAGGGCTGAGGACATCAGCTGGGAGGAAACATCCTTGATGCCAAGAGATATGGGAGAGGGAGTGATATCAATAAACTTTATCTTTCAGAACTGCCCCCAAAGCCTTCCTCACAAAGGGAAATGTCTTGGTATGGCTTTCCTAAACTCTGGAAAGCCCCTTAAACTCAGCTGGTGATGGGTCTGCCATCCTCTGCCAGATAGGTCTGACCATGATTTGATTGCCATTCCTTTTAACCTGATGGAGAAGGCCCCTGGCCACAGCAGGAGATGGCCCCAGCCCCCGCACCTCCTGCACAAAACATCTGTCAACACCTATGGATGTCTCCCCTACCCATTGCTGTGGACATTGCTCAGTTCTCCGCGGGGTGGACAAATGGTGCTGGTTGGTGGTGTGGACAAGCTGGGCTTGCAGCCAAATGAGGACTAGACTCAATTACTCAAACTGACCTGGGAACTCTGGGGCTGACCAGCCCACTAGGGAAGCTACCCTGGAGGCACTCAGCCTGTGCTTGGCACTCAGTCTTGTCACTTGGGGGTTTCCAACAATTGTCAACAACACTTACTTTCTGGGGCACCACATGGACCTCCAGTGCTGTACTTGTGTGAAAGCCAGGCATTAATTTGCCTCCTTTCCAAAAGCACAGACTTGTACATTAGGGATGGGCCTCAGAGGCTCCTGCGTGCTTTAGGAAACACCACCAGGAGATCATGTGGCCCTGAGGTGAGTGCAGAGGTCTCCCTAAACCTATCAGTTGATGTGGCTTCCTCCATGTATAAAGGACAAGATCCTAGTAGACTTTTTACTTCAGCAGAGCTCACTGCTCAGACAGAGCTGCAGTTTGTCTCACCTGGAATGGAGACAGGGGACACCTGGATCTAGGGAAGGTGAGATCAGCATCCCTGAGGGGTACAGGGCAGAAGGTGCCATTGTTTCTAATCCAGTCTTTGATCAAAATCCATACCAACCACAGAGCAGAGGTGGGTGGAGGCAAGGGCATTACAGCAATAGGCTTGAAGAGCAAAGCTCTCCTGAGGGGTCCTCATCCTGCTCTACGTGATGGACTTTTATTGGGAAATTTTGATGACTTACTTGAGTTAATGTGCAAAAAGACACAAAATACTTTAAATTAATATTTAAAGTAATATTACTAATATTTAACCAATATATTAGTAAAAACATAACTAATGTTTAAACTAATACTAATTAAATATTTTAAACTAACTTTAACATGCACCATGGTTTATACAATCTTGCTCTTTTAAATGCTTGTCTTGTTTCAATTTCTTTTCCTGATAAAATGGTGCTTTCTAATACCAAGTTGCATGGAGTGCTGTCAGCTGGGAGCTCTGTAATGGGCCTTGGTCTCTAAGGGCTGAGAAGATTGAGGGGCCAGCACCCATTTTAGTACTCCCACTTCAGTAATGTTCAATACTATCCATTTTGGACCTTCTTCAAAAATTAAAATTAGCAGTTAATACTTAATGAATGTTTACTAGGTGTCAGGGATTGCTCTAGGAGCTGTGGAACTAATGGAATGAGACAGACATCTTGCATTTAAGGAAACCTAATAAAGCTCACTGTCCTTTTTGGTTGTTACAAGTATTACTTAATGCTGTCAGAGGAAGTGGCTTCTGATCCTGCTAGCAAATAGCCATTGCTTATTCTGTGAACTAATAGAGCTAAGCCTAAGTCAATGGGTTCAGGAAGAGATGGGGCCAAAAAATTATTTCACCTTTGAGTTTCAGTGAAATCTGCATGAGGTAGATACCTCCTGGGTTGTCTGTTCATGCCACTGCCACTCCTAACCTTCAACCCTTCTCAGAAAACTTCCTTTTCACAAGTTTGCTGAGGGAGCAGCCACATGTGGAGAACTTGGCCTTGCCCCCACCCAGAATCTGACCCGTTAACACCTGACCATGCTGAGCCAATCAAAGTCCCTGTGCTGAGGATTTGGAATGATTACCAAGATATTCTCCTCACAGACTGTAAGATAAATTCTAGCTGAAATAAGCAGGCAAAGAGAGGCAACAAAGGGCCAGGTAATTTATTTGAATGCCCCCAGGCGAGGTTCCACAACCTGGCTGTCACAGGCCGGGGAAGTCACACAAAAATAGACAGGCAGCGAGTTTTTAAAGAAGGTAGGGGGAGGCAGATCTTAGATTTACAGCGGCACGAGGATTGGCTAGCCTAAGGCACATTTTTCAGGTTGGGAGGGGTCAGCAGCCGGGGACTTCGGTACGTCATCAGTGTCTGACGTATTCACCCCTCCCCCCAGTGCCTTCAACCTTACATTTCAGCCTTTTGGTCATAATGGGCAACGACTTGATCTGGCTACTTCTGGCTGACAAGGGGCGTCGTGGGGGGAGTTTCGTAGCATGTAGCATGTATATTGCTCTGACTGCAAATATCTCACCCTGATTTTTTTAGAGGCTTTCACTTCACTTCATCTAGCTTATGGTTTCTGTCTCATTTTCTTCTCTACAGATAGAGACTCTAGCTGCTGCCAGGGAAAAGGGGTGACGATCACTCTGGCTGCTTCATGCTGAGAAGGGGCGCAGTAAAGAGTGTAGGTAGGTCTCTATCACTGGTCAGTTGAGAGGGCTTCAGAAAGTTGGTGCTTTTATTCTGGAAGGACAAATTTGATGAGATTAAGAATGCATGGCTGAATATAAGAACTAGAAATATGAAGAGTTTAATTGAGAATTATAACCAGGTATTATGGGGAAATTAAAATTCTGGATTGAGTTTACATCTCAATGACTAGTATTAGGATTTAGTATAGATAAGACTGCATTATTGAAACAATACTTTTCTCTAAAGTCACCCTTATTTTTATTAGAAGCTAGATTAAGAAAATAATTAACACTTGGCTTTATTATTTGGTAAGTGCAGCAAGAAGAGCAATTGATTACACAGGCTCTTTTAAATGTGCTTTGCTGGAACTTTTTGTAAGGAATTTCAGATTGAACATTTAAAGGTCAAGGCCAGAAAGCCAAGTAAGACTTGCCATCAGGTTGTGCCTGCAGTACCTGTAGATTTGGGTGAATTCTTCTCTTCTTGAGGTTCCCAAGACATTCTTGAGGTTCCTGCACGTGCCAGGAAGTGACCTTCTTTACTCACCTGGTAAGGCTGCTGGGAACTCTGTAAGCAAGGCACCAGGCTAGTTCTTCCAAGGGGCTTTGTTGGCTCTATAAAGTCAATCTTACTTTCTTAAAGTTGTCTGTTCATATCTGAGTTTACACACGTGTCTCTGAGGTATGATGTTCCAGTCAAAGCTTTGGTAATATAACTAGTGTTTTTCATTGGTCCTCTTACAAGGAAAGTAGACTCTTATTGAACTTGTGCAAATAAATATACTGCCATGAAATATAAAAATAGTCACTGAGAGTTTTTAAATTCTGGAGGGATCAGGTAGAAAGATAAAGTTTCAATTCTGCTTATAAAGACAGTCATTTACTAAACTGTTGTCAGCTTAAGAGAAAAAGCTTAAAATATTTTATCAACAATATTTGAAACAAAAAGTCACAAAATCATTTTCTTTAGTTTACTTAATCTTATGTAACTAATACTTGTTCTGCTGAAATCTAGTTTTTTACTAGTTTAGGAGTAATAAAACTGAGTATAAATGACAAAAGACTTACAAATGACAATGGTTAAAGATTTGATGAAAGCTTACTGTAAGACAGTTGTCATAAGGAAATTTGGATATTTCTGTAACACAAAACATTCAGTAACAAAGTTTAGCATCATTCTCTGTGACAGTGCCTTCTAGGCAATTAAGCCGGTAAATAAGCTAAATTAGCCAAATGTTTTCCTCAATGAGAAGAAATTCTTCTGACATGTCCTAGGGGCCCTTTGGAAAATATTAGAGTGAACTAGAGGTAAAAACACTTTTTTGAATTTGATTTTGGGAAGCTGTTAAAGTTTTAAGGCACTTGCTTAAATAGGATTATAGGTTGCTATGAAGCAATACTTATCTATTTAACCAGAATGACAACAAAATACCTTAAAGGCAAATAAAGAAGGTTATACAGTTGTTAGCAAACTTTAGCTTTTAGTCCTTTTAATATTAAGATCTCATTTTCTTAAATATTCTGACAACTCATTGAGACTTTAAGCTTGAGAAACTGCTTTGATAAAACAATTAGAGAACTCATTGCAATCTTTTAATATTAAGAGCAGATTAACAGTTAAGAAAACTTTGTCTTTTTAACTGAAAACAAAATTTAGCTTTGCTGTGTACTTGATACTGGGATTTATTTGCTACACTTATTTATTTACTTATTTTTAACTATGCTAGGTTATTTAGAAGACCTTTACTGAATATTAGACAAAGCCAAGCTTTTAGGCATTTATTTTTAAAAGATTTAGCAGATAACATCAACTTAAATGACATTAGGTAAACTTAGGCAGCTGATAACAAGGACATGCCTGCTTCAGCCAAATTCAAATTACCATTAATGCTTAACATTTTTTATCAGATTTCCTGGAAGTTTTAGAATGCCTAATTTTCACAAGCGCTTGTTTTTAAATCAATTTTTATTAATACCGTCCAGAGGTAGGAAAATATTTCTCATTTACACACCTAGACACACAAACATACAAATTGAGACACAACTGCTACAGTCAGTACCACTTTTTATATAAAAACATATACACAGATAGACAAACTGATGAGTTACTGATATCTAACTGCTTTGTTTTTCTTCAACTTCTTGTTTGTGGCTTCTGGAACTAGAGGGCAGGAGGAGCATGTTCTTGTCAGGGAAGAGGGCAGTGAAGGCGGAAGGAGAGGGGGAGGGGTGGTGCAGCCACCGGAAGAGGAGAGCAGGACAACGGCATGGTTGAGAATGCAGGACTTTAAGATGGCAGCGACACGTGTGAAGACAAAGGACTTAAAGATGGTGGTGGAGAGAGGGGGAGGGGATTGCGAGCTGAGGGAGGCGGGTGACTGAGGTTTTCTGATGGATCTGAGAAGGAAGGACTGGGCAGAGTAAGAGGCTGACAATCTTTAACTGGAGATCGGGCCAGGAGAAACCTGAGTCACTGAACAGTTAACATAAAGGTCTGGATGGGAGTGCAAAGTCCAAAAAACCTGCACATATGGGATTTCACTCTACTCTCCGCTCTAGTGGCAATAATTAGTTAAGTCTGTGAGGAGGCCAAAATCAAAAGTTCTCTCAGGGGGCCAGCGAGATTTATTGTCCAAGGGATACTGAGGCCCGGCCTCAGAGCAAAGAAAGATTAGCTTCCATTTGCGAACTTCCCGGCACAAATATAGAGTATCCAAATTAGAAATGAGACACCACAGAGGGGTCTGAGCCTCCGCTTCTGAGGGCTGGTTCCCCATGTCTGCGCCACTTCCCAACTAATCCCACTGAGAGGAGTGCCCAGCGTCCCAAGCGCACCAAGTCAGGGGAGATGGCCTGGGAGCCTGGGTGAGGGACGTCTCCCACACCGCAGGGCCAGGGGCAGGTATCCCAGATACTTGCAACGGATGGGCTGAATGCCCAGACCTGGACATACACATGATTTCTAATGGACCAGGTGAAACGGAGTTAGGAAAGGAAGCAGACTGGGGGAAACTGAGGGACTCACCAGAAAATAGTCCATGCAGCAGAGAGCAGGCTGAGGTCCTGGGTCAGGGAAGAAGGGGGCGGGGCCGCCGGTGGCCGGTCGGGGCCCCGTGCTCACGCTCCTTCCCGGGATTTCGGCACCAAATGTAAGATAAATTCTAGCCAAAATAAGCAGACAAAGAGAGGCAACAAAGGGCCAGGTAATTTATTTGAATGCCCCCAGGCGACGTTCCACAACCTGGCTGGCACAGGCTGGGGAAGTCATGCGAAAGTAGACAGGCAGCAAGGTTTTAAAGAAGGTAGGGGGAGGCAGAGCTTAGATTTACAGCGGTGCGAGGATTGGCTAGCCTAAGGCACATTTTTCAGGTTGGGAGGGGTCAGCAGCCGGGATTTTGGCACGTCATCAGTGTCTGATGTGCTCCCCCCTCCTCCCAGTGCTTTCAACCTTACACAGACTAGGTGGATTTTAGAAGGAAGCAATAGAAGCCTGGGAGCTTGGAGCGTCCATGTCCTGCCTTGTGGACTGGCAAGCAGAAAAGGCTGGACTGCAATGAGAGATGAAGGGAAGACAGACGTTTAAAGAGAAAAATGGGAAGAGAGAATGGATCCTGGCAGTGTTCACTTGCCCACTTCTGGTTTGTTTCTGGAATTAGACACCCTGTAACCCCCATTTGTGTAGCCAATTTAAGTAACTAGGACACTAAAGATGCAAGATCCGATTGATGTATTTCAAAGAAAATACTTTCCTGTTTGATAAAAGCTGAATAGAAAGCAAAAATTAGAAGCATTTATATCTAAATCAATGGTAGTATGATCTAGGAGGCATTAACATTTGGAATCAAGTAACTTCTCCTCCTTCTGCACTACTCCCTTAAAAGAAAGGTAGTCTAAAGTACAATGAGGTGGTACCCCATAAAAGGAAAAGGCATAGGCCCCAGAGTGAGACTTGCTGCTATAAAACTCAGGTCCACCATTTCATAAGAATGTGATGTTGGGCAAGTTACTTAACTTTTCCAAGGAAAGACAACTTTTAGTTACCACCTTCTTAAGGAGAAGTTTAAAGTCCTTGAAGGGAATCAGAGAATGGAAACCAATGGTCAAAGACTGTGCAAAGGCAGAAGGGACTCTAATCCTGGGTGGAGATGTGACACACATGGGGTCAGGAACAGAAACCTGCCACACTGAGCTCTACAGGATGACAGACCTGACCCTTGGAGAAGAAGCAGCACCAATAAGCAAAAGGGAGCAACCACATGGAATCAATCAATGTGGTTTTGAACAAACCAAGGGAAAAAGTGTTGAGCTTGGAGTTCCAGGCTACTACTGCAGAAACCCAATGTTATGGGGTACCCAATGCCTTGCGGTACAGATTGACAGAAGAGAGGAACTCAGTCAGTGCCAACATGAAACCACCTCCACCAGCCACCTGTGATGGGCATAGCTGTGCGATCAGCCTTTCCCAGTCTGCACCCACCATTGCCATGGCCTCGGCCCCCTCCTCTCCATGATGTTTGCTTTGCACTGTCCAGACACTCGCAGTGGTCGTTCTCATGGTGATTTCCCCAGGGTCTTGGGTGGAGTGCAGCAGAGAAGGAAAGTTGGTAGAGGAGTTAAGAGGATCCTAACATACTGGTTCTGTTACATTACTCTCTGATCCCTTTAGGAGGATCTCATTAAGGTTTGCATTACAAAAGTTAATGTGCAATGAAATGGGTCAGAATTATGGCATGAGTTTTAACAGTTGTTTTAATCTTCGAGTCTCCTGAACACGTCTAGCACATTGAACACCAGCCAAGCACAGTATGTTATTTTAAAAAGATCTTTCTCCATGTGACATTTCTCATTACATAAACTCACTTATACTTATTAATGATTCTGGATCATTTCATGTGTTTCTATTTTGTATGATAAAGAGAAGAAAGTTTCATATTCAAGAAATAAGTCAGGGGGAAAATGGTCTCTTTTCCTTTGGTTATGCTTTATTCCTTTTACTCTTCAAAAAAGGGAGATGTGTCTGTTCCCAGAAAAGGCCAGAAAACCTAATGTCGAGCAAAAAGTCCCCCACGTGAGTCACAGATATAAATCCGAGAAACAAACAACAAGCATCCCCTCTGTAGGAGTCTTTGTAAACAGCAATATCCAGCTGGTTCATCCTTAATGAATTCATCCTATTGCTAAAAATACAAAGTATCTTATTATATTTTCATTCCAACACCTTCAGGTCAAAATAGAACTACTCACCAACTGTTTCCTCATTCATTAACATGACGAGCCAACCAAAAACCCCGTCATGGGGCAGTACATTTGCTAGTGTCATGGAAATGCAAATACCCAGTACAATTTAATTCACGCAACCTCTTAACACATGGAGCTCTAAAGTCTTTATTACAAAAAACATCATTAGTCACTTAAAATAAAGCCTCAGAGAAAACCTTGAGCTGACAGGATTCCATGCATTGGTACCAATACGTAGGATAATCATTCAGACATTTTGGCTCTCTGATGACTTTTTTGGAAGAAGCTATACTATCCTTTATTAATATAAGATCGATTTCTCTCTTACTGCCTTTTCAAGAAATGCCATATTGAAGCCATCTAAGAGAAATATTCAGGATATTGGAAGCACAAGAGTCATGTTTTACTTAGGTAAATCCATTAAAATAACAAAATTATTTTTCTGAAGCAGGCCTGAGAATGTCAAGACGAAGTGTGTTAGTTCTTCCTTCCCATGAACATATGCCACATATACATATGTCAGTGAGGTTATAGAGCAAAGATATAAAATCATAGATGACAAGCTAATCATCACAGTGATGGTGTATACGTTAAACTTTGGGTGAGTGAATTAAATTTCTACAACAAATGAATTTAAAAACTATTTCCCTCTAATAAACACATAAGAAATACACAGTCTTATAGCAAACTTGTAACCCTAGACTCAAGGTTAAGTTAAATTCAGTAGAAGAGAGCAAAAATCTTTTCACTTAAAAATAGATAATAACAATAGACTCTTTTGCCCTTCAGAGAAAAAAATTAGCCAGAAACTCAATTTTATAATGTTAAAAATCAGAATGTATGCAGTCCTTCACCCCACTTGGCTAATGGTTTTTTCTCTTTGTGTCATTATGCTGACATATATATTTTTCAGACTTCTCCTTTTTCTCTGTCCAAGAATAGACAAGCTCAGTGTTGCTTTCTCAAAAGTGCCTCTATCATTGATCTTGTCCTTTCGAGAAAATATTAAACGATTTTTTTCTCTTTTTGCCTAGACTTCAAATTTAATAAAAGCAAAGTAATTAGGGTGTATAATTTCCTCTTTCCATAAGTATCACTGATTCTAGGATGGCCATCCAGAATATCCCTTGAGAGCAAATTGAAAATTTAAACAGTATTAATAAATCAATCAACAAAAGTTAATTGGCAAGTGTGTATAGGCATTGTCATAAATTGTCAGGGAGCTATTAGATGAGGAAGTAGTTCTCTCTTCTAGGATGTTAGAGTCTTGATAGGCTATAATACATACACACACACATAAGAGAATACCCCTAATACAGAGCAGCCAATGGTGAGTGCTAAATGAATGCTAGAGACCACAGCTGCCATTGGACTTCAAATGAGAGCAATTGCTCTAGCCTCTGCTAATAATGTTGGCTACACCTCAGGGTAAAGGTAGCATTTGAGCTGGGCTTTGGGAGACTGGAGGATCGGGGCAGGGTGGAGGAAAGAGAACAGCAAGTGTTGAAGGGGGAGGAGGGGTGATATTTCCAGAGCAAACTGAAAAGGTCCCCAATGAATTGAAGTATTCTTTTGTGGACTGCAAATTAGATTTCGGTATATTTCAGATGTATTTATCTGTGCATATTTTCACATCACTTTGAAAAGATGAAGAAGCATATGTGGTTGACTTTCTTGGCCCATCCAGAGCTACAGAACAGTGGCCAGGGCCATTGTGAAAATCACTGTATAGCAGGACTTGCCCACTCTTGATCTCCTTCGTGTTCTACATGTTGAAGTCAGCCCCCTCTCCCATTTCCAGTACTTTGCTGCAACGTGAATTAAAATTTATATTCTTACTATCACCAAGTCATAGAAATTCCCAGTCTTCAACTATTTAACAATCTTTCAAGTTGTAGCCCTGCTCAGAATTTTGTTTTCTAATAGGACCTGGGTCAACAGTCATTTTTACTTTAGAACATTTCATTGACAACTGCTAAGTAGAGCCTTTCCATCTCATACTTGAGCTATGATTTTATTAGTCCGGATCAGAACAAAGACTTAAAACACCCATAAATAAGATAATCAAATGAAAGAATGCCGGACAGAATTGTACAAATGCCTGTCCGCACACAAACACTCTTCATTTCTCCTCCCTGGCAGGAGGCTCAGGAGAAGGACCCTGCCCTCACCCCCAGCCCTCATTGTCAGCCAAAGACATGCCTTCCTTAGAGAGAAAGCAAATCATCCTGCATCACCACTGATCGGTGGTGTGATTTGGGGCAACTTGCTGAACTTCTTGGCATCTCAGCACTGTGTGATGTTTTGGGGAGAATTAAATAAGTTAATACTTTGAAGAGAATAGGGCCTGGCCTGAGGTGGTACTAAGGGTGGTCGCACTAACTGTAGCAATAGCGGTGGTTGCTTGCAGTGAATCCTGCTTCAACCTCAAAATAGCCTCAATGTGGTGAGGGCTTGCAGAGTTGCAGAGTAGGAATAGAAAAAAAAAAAGAAACTATAAGATTTCACGACTTTACTTCCCAGAAACTGGGGGAATATCTGTGGGACTTGAATTTAGAAGACTGACTAAAAGGATTATCATTTTGAGTCCAGATAAAAATACTGCTGTCTGCATTCAGCATGCAGTGCCTCTATCATTGATCTTGTCCTTTCGAGAAAATATTAAACGATTTTTTTCTCTTTTTGCCTAGACTTCAAATTTAATAAAAGCAAAGTAATTAGGGTGTATAATTTCCTCTTTCCATAAGTATCACTGATTCTAGGATGGCCATCCAGAATATCCCTTGAGAGCAAATTGAAAATTTAAACAGTATTAATAAATCAATCAACAAAAGTTAATTGGCAAGTGTGTATAGGCATTGTCATAAATTGTCAGGGAGCTATTAGATGAGGAAGTAGTTCTCTCTTCTAGGATGTTAGAGTCTTGATAGGCTATAATACATACACACACACATAAGAGAATACCCCTAATACAGAGCAGCCAATGGTGAGTGCTAAATGAATGCTAGAGACCACAGCTGCCATTGGACTTCAAATGAGAGCAATTGCTCTAGCCTCTGCTAATAA